ACAAGTTCACATTCTTTTAGAGGGAATGGACTCTCAGTCTGTTTCTGATCATGAATTACAAATGACATGTTCCCTATATTATACTGTTCGTTCAGTGCTGTGCGATCAACTTGAAAATAACTTCAAGCCACCAGTCTGCTAAATCTCACAAGATACATTTGGAATGCACGTCCGCGATACTTTATATTTTAGTGTGCTTAACTGACATTTACAACTATTCCGAAGAAATATTAGGTACTTTCGTAAAAATAAGTTCCCCGTTCGTTCGCTATCTAGACCGGGGATAATAATATCTATTTGTAATTTCTATATTTTTATGGGGATATACTACTATACTATACACTGTAGCTCCTGAAATCAATATCACTATGTATGTCTATAGTGCTGTTCATATCTATAGGTGTAACTGTCACCCACTTTCGATCAGATAGGTCAGCTTCACTGTTGCGGTAAAAAAAAATTATATTTGCAAATATAAAATGAAATTAAATTCTTGGAGAAAAGTGAAACGGGCTTGGCAATATTTGGGTATTTTTTTGAAATTTTGGGTAGTAGTGTTAGTATTTGTAAACTTTTCACATAAAGTATATAAATTTCATATGTAAAGTACATAATTACAAGAGAAGAGGGAAGAGTAAAAACAGAAGGAATTTATTTATTTACTTATTTATTTGTTTATGTAGCGTTCGGGTGCGTACAAAGAACAACGGCTGAGACTTAGAAAGTTTGTCTGTTCTGCCATTGACCAACCGATAATAGTGCACCGTCAAATTGCACTTTCGACAAAATGAACAAAATAACTTTTTTGTTCGTTCATTTTATTTACTACATTTGATATATGGCTAAAAAAACGATGCTAATTTGTGGTTGATTAAAAGTCCTAAAAATTATATCGATTTGAGAAAAATATATATTTTACGTTTGGATAAAAATCAAAATTCGCATCTGACAATCCTGGTTGTCATCAAAATCATTGTTTTGTACATTTTTGCCATTTTAAGTGTCATAAAAAATATAACATATTTTTTTGTAAAGTAATAATACTACAGGTACCTAGTAAATTTGAAATGGTACATAGTTAAACAAAGTTGCGGATTGTTCCTAATTGGTTAACTAGGCAGATGGCGGATTACGTTGGATGTTCATTATTGCGCTGTGGGTCTCCCCTAGAGGCCAGCTGCATAATTCACGTGGCACGATTAGCGCTTCGTATTAGTCAGGTGAATTGGGTATTTAGTGTGAGTAAGTAGGTCCAGGTATATATTGATTTTTTATTAAAATAAATAATAATAATTTCTAAAAAGGTTCACATTTTTTTCCTTTATGTATTTTATCCTTTTATTATTTTCACCGGTAAAATTGAATGTTCTTACCAAAAGATGATTTGAAGAAAATTTTGAGTATCCCATATTGACTTGATAGCTTTTAACAGTAGTTAGTAAGTTAAAAAAATTATCATATTTTATTGGAAATAATTCTCTGTACCAGGTAGAATACTTTTCTAAAAGATGCTGATTTTATAGATTTCAAGCGTTATAGTAATGTAACATACTTAGCATACTTAATAGCTGATAGTAGTAGTTAGTATAGAAAGTTAATTTTTTTTATCTTTTAGACATATGTTTCGTTAAGAAATTCTAAAAATATTCTGTATATACTTTTTATTTATTTTATTTTTTTGATTAATCTGTATATATAGAATACTTCTTTAAACTATGTTCATAATTTGTATTTCAATTGTATAATTCTATTATTATATTTAATTATATGAGTACATTTTATGTTTTATAAGACACCGGAATTAACTACCTACCCAATTCTGTTCTCCTTTAACCAAAGGTTGTCTGTAAGAGATTGCCCTAGCGAAAAGACCGCCTTTTGTACCTTTATGTGTATATTTCAATCTATATTTATGTTACTGTATTTCACTCGAATTATTCACTTGTCATTGTATATTTTTGTTTATGGTGCAATAAAGAGTTAAATAAATAAATAAACTATTATAATTTACCTGACATATCTCATAGTCGACCAGGTTATAACAGCAGCGGTTACGAGTAGACGGGTGTGGAGCTGTCATGTCTCCGCTTCCAAGGCAAAAGTATTTTTCTCTACTCTTTCGTTGTCGACTAATTGTAATAAAATACCTCTCTCATACAACATTGACCGTGTCTTAAATCTATGCATCATTTGATCGCATTAATTCTCGACTCTTATAAAACATAAAATAGTCAGCGTCAAAGGTAATACGAGTATGTTGTTGTCGGAAGATTTTTCTTTTTTTTTTTCAATTTAATGTACAATAGTTTCATGTAGCTATACTTGTATTTTTCGGATTCATTTCACCTCTGTTTGTAATTTAAATTGGTTTATATGTATTTTACCGTTTACCCAGTTTACCGTTTGAAAAAAAAAATGGAAAAATGATCCGTACTGGGTATATATACAAACATATTAGCAGATTTACAAACTTCACCTGAATAGCTAGTGAGTCGTATAAAGATTTTCGTTTCAACTGCGTTCACGTTCACCTCGATAACTTTGTATAGAAATCTCAGTTTTAGGAGCACAGCTACGTTTTCAATACAAGTTATCGACGTAAACGCTAACAGTACTAACGTAAATTTATATTAAACTCACACTATGTACTCTGTTTAAATATATATATTTAATATATATATTAATGGCAGCCTATTGAGTACACCCTATATTAATTTTCAAAAAATAAATCTTGATGACTAGGGTAATATTTTAATTTATTAAAAATCACAGTCTAATTGACAAACAAAGGAGTTACCTTTTTGAATGGCGACTCCGTAATATGCAAAAGCGTTGCTGGAACAATCTCTATACGAATGACGGCTTCAAAGATATTGGGAGAAGTCGATGAATTCATGTAGCTTAGGTCCATTTCTAAGCCACGAAACCACATTAAGGAATCCTTTGTTTTGTTGTTGAATGAGAAATGTTTTCTTACATAAAATTACTGTTTATATAAAATATAGTTTTTGTAATTTTAGTTCGGCATTCGATACAAATCGACTCGATCAGTGCTACACTAGATTTCGCCATAATGTGCATTTGGGATTGCTTTTAGAGTCGTTTGCATAATTCTCGTGCTGCGATCAGACGGTCCGGCTGCATTACCCATATACTTTGCTACACTTAACGTAATTGAGATGCCAGTACGAATTTAATTTAAAAAAGTGCCAATATCTATTTGTTTGCAGTCAGACATATTAAAGAAGTTTTATTCGTAATATAAATTTATGAACTATATAAAAGTCTAAAGTTTACATACCTGCTTAAAATAGATAGATTACTTTTTTGCACTAAAACTGACTAGTGGAGCTAATTAAGGAAATTTTATATACATTAATAAAATTAATTTATGAATGTCTTTAAAACGCTATAAAGATTTAATCTCTAAAACTATGAGTATAACATGTCTCTATATGTTAGTTTGTTTTGCACTAAAAATAATAAGGGGAATTGGATAGGGAAACTAATTAAAGTAGTTATAAAAACATTTATGACATTAATTTATAAATGTATTAAATACTCTCTCTCTATATATATGTATATATATGCTCTTTTTCATTCCACAGTAAATTAAATAATTAATATTAATCATATTATTTCTATAGTGATTGATTAAACTATTAAAACGCCAAAAAGTAGCAAATAAACCTACTATTACATTCATTATATTAGTAAAATTTACAAGTAATTTTACTAAAAAAACACAATAACAAAACTTTCACTGTTACGATTTTGTTATAATAACAGAATATTGTTAGGTATTTCGTATTTAATTAGAAATGCTTTCAATGTATGTTACTATTCTCACAGCCCGGCCACGTAAATTTGTTTATCATACTAATGAGATGCATTTTGTGTAGGCAATTCATATGCTTATAACATATATTGTCAGTTATTTCTGTAAAGATATATTTATTTATTGCTGCAATATATATGTGTCTAATTATCTAATTCAATTAAATTTATTTCATTAATTATGTATTACACGCTAAATCTTGACTTTATTTGCTTTTAATACTTCATATTACATCAAAATCAGTTGTTTTATCGGTTTCGTAATAGAATACTAAAAAAGATAATAATATAACTCTTATAGTAGACTATTATAGACTATTATTTATCCATTTATCATAGTGCTATAGCTCAGGAACTACTAATGGCATTTTTTTATTATTATACTTCAACGAACTGGATCTATGCAATACCAAAAAAACATGGTTTCTGTATTATGCATAATGTTAATGTTTTATGTATTTATATTTTACTAATTTTTATCTACAACTTCGTCCACGTGACCGGGATATGTTTATTGACTGGGATAAAATTAACCTATATCCTTCTGCATCCTATATACATATGTAGTGTTTTTTTTATCATGGGTGAAAATGGAATGGTAAACTCCGCCTGCGCTAACGGGTTACTCTGACGGAGCACCAATGAAGGGTGATCAATGAGAATGAAAATAGGTCAGTTAGCCCATCATGATGAATTCATCAGGAATCAACCATGATAATTTCCAGGGGGAACCGCGTGGAGGTCGACCTGGTTGGGTATATTACTAGAAATGGGCTTCTTAGTCCCCATTACTAACAATCCCTTCCCCCCCAATACATATGTAGTAAGTGTATAACAAATTTCATAGAGATTGGTTAAGCCGTTATGGCGCTATTAGATAACAAAGACACTTTCACATTTATTAAGGATAGTCAAGCGGTCCTATTTGTGTTTAAGACTAATAAGATATACAAGTAGCAGTGAAATTGCTGGGTACGTAGTTATAACAACCCAATCCTCAGAAATGACATTCAGGACAACAGGCGTCCCATTGTACTCTATGACATCCATGGTGCTATTTACGTTGAAAGTAACGATTATGGTTTTAGACATTCCGAATAGATAGATTCTTATGCTGCTGATATTTCTTTACGTTCAATAAATATTAAAATTAAAGAAAAAGACAGTATTTAACAGATTTTAATTTCTTAATTCGTTTTACATTTATTTACAATGTATTTATCACATTTTCACAGTCAATACATACGATTACTATTTACAAAAATTACAATAATTATTTTTTGCTATTTTTTTTCTTATTATTCGTCAAATATTTCTATACACAACTTTCTGGTCCTGGTATTTCTTCGGCTATAAGATGCTCTCTTCTACTTAACGTCATGTTTCCAGATATTGGCTGTTTACTTGATGAAGATCTTGGTGGAGATAATAACTGCGGACAAAACAAATACAATTATACCACATTCCCACTTCGTTTGACATAAAACATTCAACAGTTTGCCGACCGTCACTGATATATTTTATACAATACAAAGATACAAATTAGAGATATGTAGGATGCAAAGAAAATCGTATTTTATAATTTATAATTAGGGTTTAATTTACATTGGAATCTTTGGTTTTAGAACGTTCTCTTTTGAAGAAGAGTATAATTAGACACTGGCTATATTTGAGTTTTATTTTAAATGGTAAGATGTATTCAATTGGTATTTTAAATCTAAAGTTAAAATTCCATAATATATAAATATATTATGCGTATTATTTAATATAATGATACGATCATGGGCGAAGCCACAGTACACAGCTAATATATACAAAGTAGGGAATATATTTTGAACCTGTATACCAAATTTCATTTAAACCCATTCAGCCGTTTAAGTATGATTGAGTAACAAACATCAAACATCTTTAAAAACTTTCACATTTATAATATTAATAGGAATGTATAAAAGTACTGACATTTCGTTCTCCCGCAGTGTGCAGCGAGCCGAGCCCACTCGTCCACTCTTCACTCCCAGTGAGGGACCCATTTTTGACAGCCACCTCTATACCACACTTCACGTTTGGAGGGCCGCCATCTAAAAATAATAAACTGAAGTTCAAAATTTTCAATTTAGAATGTTTATACGTTGGATTGTCTCTTACTTTTAATGTTCGCTTATAATTCATTATACAAAATAGTAACGATATGTACCTACGTGTAGTTACAACAAAAAGTATATGTATTTAAGATTTTTTCAACATGTTATTCTAACGTTATATCACAAACATATAGAGCGAAAAATCATATATATAAAAAGCAAAAATTATATTAATAAAAGAATTATCAACATTTTAGTAAATTTAAGAAATAACTAGACGACTCGAGAATCTAAAATTAAGTCTAAAATAATAATTATGTGCTCATTTCACTTATAACATTTTTTTAAGAAATATAGAATAGTTAACAAGCTGAGAACATCTAATGGATAGTGGTAATTGTAAAACAGTAGTGGTTCTATAGAAAAAATAATTTCGGATGAAGGCCAATATGGGAACCATTATGGGACTTCCCCATAATGGGGGAGAAGGAGGTGGGTTACCAGTAGTTGTCATGATTGGCAGGTGGGTTGGCAATCGCAGCTAGATCTTTGGTGAGGTTTTAAGAGGAACGCTGCTGCCCATTCCTCGACCTTCAAGTTTCTTTAATCGCCATTTACGATACTCAGGGGAATGGAAAGGTGGCCTATTCTAAGCCGAGAATACACGACATCTAGTAAGTATATTACGACGTATTATATCCAATTTTCAAATGTTTTATCACAAAGGAAGATGTCGTAGAATCTTATTGCGCCTTTCCAGTTTCGTAGCTAATTAGCGGCTCGTATTCCTGCTACGTGATTTTATTACAGTAATTGTAAGATTCCTAAGTTTAACAGCGCTATATTACCCACTAGTTGGTGATATTTGAGGAAATATACAATTACTTTCTATTAATTTGAATAAAATTGCGCAATTAGAAATAACTGTCTTCAAGATTGTTCTTCTGGTTTACTGTTTCACTCATTTCTATGGCTATATTATTTTGATGTTGTCTAAAGGTGGAGTTAGATTAAGCTAGAGAATATTTATTGTTCCCTTCTGTATTTTTTGGTTAATGCAAAAAGCCTCTAAGTATTCTAAACGTCTTCTCAGAGTACTTATATTTAGTAGTATTTCTTGGACTTCTTGGATTTGATTCTTGGATTCGACTTGTTCTTCTTACGTTATTCTTTTAATTTAATCCTACTTCAATTGTTTGAAAAAAAAACAAAGAAAAGAAACACAAATCAAGATTACTTATTTATGTAAGATTCTAATTGTAGCTCTGTACTCTTTGTTCCTTCAACTTTAATTCATTTTCAAAATTATATAGTCACTAAGAATTTTGTTGACAAAACCTCGAGAAATTTCTCGAAACCTTTTATACGAGTATCTATATATTTCTAAATATCCTGAAAAAATATTCTAAATATTTTAAAGCGTTTTTTAAACAATCATAAATTAATTAATTTTTATTTAAAAATATTTTGTATGTCTATATTGTAATTAATATTCATCTCATTTTGTGAGTTGTAAAAGACTAGTCCGGGAATAAGATCCGAGAAGGTAGCAACGTTCCAAGCCACTCATTAAGCATGGTAATTAACGGCAAATTTCGCTAAAGACTCGTCAAAAATAATAGGAACAAAAGAGCAGCAAACAAAAGAAACGTACCAACATGAGTTATGACTATAACTATAAATCACGTAACAGGTATCTGTTTAAAAAATAAAACGCATCTTAGTACCTAGAAGTAGTAATACATAATAACCTAAAGATGATACAGTACTTATATTAGTGATATTTTGGTCTATTTACTGGCAGTCACTACTTTCCACTGGCCGTGTGGGCTAAACATAGAATGGGCCTTAACTAACTGGACTAAGGGAATTTAATGGTCGAAGGGTAGGCAGTATCCCTCTTAAAACATCACTAAAGCCTAACTGCAGTTGCTAACCCGCTTGCCAAGCGTAGCAAATACTAGCAATACTCTCCCCACCCTCCTCCCTTCCCCAATAGCATAAGCAGTCCAGCAGTGGATAGTTAATGGCTGATATGGTGACTATTTTACACTAGACAGGCCATCAATTTTTTACCACTTCAATAGCAAAAAACTTTAGCAGAGTAAAAACTTTTACCTTCTGACAGCTTGATCTGATGGTATTCGAACTTATATTTCTCTTAATAGTTCCCATAGTTCAAACCGACTATGTTTCCTATTATGTCACGAAAGCTGACGTTTGAAAATGTGGTTAAAAATATGCCATTTGCTAATTGTCAGTATTCCTTCTGTGACCTAACGAAGAATACAATCAAGCCGGATAGCTGAGAGATATGGGATAGATAACCGTTGGATTAAACTGTCGGAAGGTAAAGTTTTTCAAACATAGCAGGTTAGGAATTTTGAATTTATTTTGAATTTTATTACAAGTTTAAAAATATTTTCGATTATTTAAAAACATATTTTAAACTCTCGCAACAATGTAATTAAAAGTTGTATCGTTAATGAAATATTTTTCATAATTGGAAGGAACATGATTCGTGATACTAGAACAGCAGCTATGCTACATAGGTTTGGTTTAATTATTTGAAATGAAAGGTATTATTATCATAATTATTCCAACGTAACATTATTAAAAAGAAATCGAGAAAGAGCTCCTGTTCTCTATCCAATCCAAAACGAGTAGAGCAAACAGAATTTACAGTCGAAATAAAAAAAATATATATATTATAAAAACTCATGCTGATTATGAAACTATGACAAAAAAGTCTAAGACCGCTTTTAAGTAATATGTATGTATTAAATCATTCTATAACTGCATTTCCATATTGCTACAATAAATAAAGTTTATAAACAAACATACAATTATTTTCAACCGACTTCTACAAAAGTTCTCTATTCGGTTAAATATTTTTTTGTTTTTTTTCATAACTCCGTCAGTTTGAAAACCAATTTGAAAAATTCTTTTTTTATCTGAAAATATGTAGTTACCAATTGGTCACATTTTTTGGGACACAATCTTTAATTATTATACACACGCAAATTAAAAAAAAAAACTAACTTGTCAGTATAAATCGTAGTCACTTATATAAGTAAAACTGTTGTGTAAAAATTGTAGTCATCTTTTTACAAATATAAGTAGTTACTATTAACAAACCGTTAATGATAAATGTCTAATGAATGAACGAAATCAATAATCCAAAATAAATTGAACAAGCTATTAAAAACAACTCTACGTGCTATAAAATAATAAATAAATTTGCTTGTAACTTGCTTACCAGGTGGTGGATTTAATATATCTGGCTGCGCTTGTTTCGGGGGTTTGAGCGTGTATGCCACCACATATTGGCTATCCCCTGCATTTAATTGTAGTTCCGATGACTGTTGCTTTGTAGGTGGCCTATTTCTGGGAATCATTAAAACCAATTATAATTACAAATTTTATAATTTATTTTAATTAGACTATTATTATACTCATAATTGTATTTGTGTATTATTATTGACATACACAAACATTTGATTTTATGTTATTTTCTTTCCTGCATCTCTTAACTTATTCCATATTTGTATTAATTGTATCCTGTGATTCCGCCTATGTGAATCAAAACATAAATTATCCTGTGTACTCAGTCGGGATATAGCATTTGGCGTTCCATTGTTTCTGCCTACCCTAATGGGAGACAGGCGTGACAGATATGTATGTATATATATGTATATGTATGTATGTACTCAGTCGGGATCATCTATCCGTATAGTAAATTCCAATATTTATATATGATAATATGACTATTACATCAGCAACTCACAATTACTGAACTTAATGCTGATTTTAAGTTAATTCACCAGAAATAAGTTGAAGGTATCGATAATAAGTATATCTTATTTTGTTTGAAAATTAATAGTCTTCAGGAATATTTGTAACTTGAACTGTGAGAATTTCATTGTATTTTGTGTGTTGTACAAGCTTATTATTATATTCTTTCTGCAATTAAGATAATATCCCATTAAATAGTACTTCGCCTATTTACAAGAACTTCATGACTTCATATAAAATACGTGACGTCCAATATGCTTTTCTTCAATATATATATATATATATATATATGTGTGTAGACGTACAACCTAGTTTTATCATTTGTGTACCTTTTTCTGCGGAGAAAATATCCAGTTACAACAGCGGCGCAAGTAAAAACTACTGCTGTAAGGATGATCGCCCAAAAAGCACCTCGCGAAACACCAGCCACTAAATTGTTGCTTCCATCTTCATTAAGGAAAAAAAACATAATTAACATTTACAAATGAATCGGGGGGAACAAACAATACTCTGTAGATAACCATTACTTTTTTTAAGAAGAAAGAATGTAATATTACATAATAGCCGTTTCACTTGTCTTTGTCCGCGTTCCTGAGTATATAAGGTCACCTAAATATTAAGTTAGAATATAACCTATCAAAGTGCCAAATCCGTTCAGCTATTTAGGCGTGATTGAATAACAAATAGACAAACATCTTTAGATGTTTTCACACTTGTACTTGCTGTTATTATTGTTATTATTCGCCACGTGATTCCGTCATAGAATGGGCGATCCTTTCTTTTCTTGTGGATGTTGTAAGAGGAGGCAACTTAATAGTCGAGGTATGGTCAATATCCTTCTTAAAACATCGGCAAAGCCTAAATGCGGTTGCCTAAATGGGTAATAGAATCCATACAAATATAAAATTATCTTGTACATAATAATTTGAAAAGAGTAACTATGGAGTTTCTTGCAGGTTCTTTTCAGCAGATAACAATATTCCGAACCCAATAGTAGAATCATAAAACTTGACGATTTAAAAGATCTTGTAAACAAGTCTATTTGAATCTCAGCAGCTAAGATAGGCGAGCCTCGAATAACAATTAGTTTTAAGAAGTACTCGTAACGTTTTCCTATTTTTGATTTTAAATACAAAAATATAAATATTCAAATATTCACTGCAACCAATATTGGTCATTATTGTCATCACCAATGGAACTTCACTTGTCTGGACTTACATTATGAAGAGATAGATTTGACTATTTGTATGTTTTAATAATTCTTTATCCTACAGAAAGTTACATTATTAGCTAATAACAGGCTATATTTTATTTACAATAAAAACTGAACGAAATCGGAGTGGATCCCTAGTTTGAAATAAAGCCGTCGATCTCGATTCAAACATTATGTTTATTCGTGTTCATAAAGTTATTTTTTGCAGATATTTCTGTTCTCGGCAATCAAATACAACCTATTAAGGTTCGCAGTTAAAGTTTAAACGAAAAATAATTTAATTTAGACTAGTTTTCGTTATTCATTCCTACTTGTATAATAGCGATCAATACGCATATGTTGTGATCATTCAATCGACAATTTATTATTAGTTAATTAATTGTAATCCGTTGCAGATTAATTGGCATGGATTATAATTAAAAACTAAATCTTTATTCTAAGTTTCTTGCGATGTAATCGGATGGGAGTCAAAGATATGTTTATATAATTATCTTGCTTAGTTCGTTTTCAAAAATTATTTGATGTATACACATCGTCATTATCACCATTATATCAGCCGTTAACTATCTACTGCTTACTTTTTTACTTTATCTGAGCAATAAGTACTTTATATCATTCTCAATTTTGTGGATAATATAATATATGTCATATATGTGCAAATATATTTGTTAATTATATATATTTATTCGTTTATATATAATTTATATGTAATTTTAGTATGAATGTATATCAATAATTACTAGTACCATATTCGAGTATTCTGACGCTTCATTATAATTGACTGGGAGAGAATCCTTTTAGCATTAAGTCCGCCATGTATACGTATTTGTCCTAATGAATAAATAAATAAATACTGCTAAACATAGGTCTTCCCAATAAGGGAGGTTTTACCAGTAGTTGCTACGCTCAACAGACGTATTGGCAACCGTAGTTAGGCCTTTGGTGATGTTTTAAGAGAGACGCTGCTGCCTATCCTTTGACTATTAAGTTCTCTTTGTTTTTACGACATCCACAGGGAAGCCTCTTTCTTTTCCATGGTCCAATATATACCGGGACCAAACAGCAATACGTAACTAAAATAACAAATATTCTAACGACTTTAAATTATAATTTATGAGTCGTAAATTACCTGTTCTTCTTTCAGGATCTTGGTAGGCTAAAGCATGTACCATAACTCGTTCTGAAGCCCCTTTGTCATTTCGAGAATGCACTGTTAGTCGAAGAGTATTACCACCTGACCAAAGAACTGTTGGTGGTACAAGAAACAATGCTACGCCATCTGTTGAAAAAATAACTAACTATTATTTCAATTATGGTTATTATTTATCTCACATTAACAATTGAGCAATTTATTACAATTTGAACTCAGTGTCTTAATTCTATTTATTCGTTCTGATTAAAAGGTAAATAGAGCTTTGAAAAAGTAACAAGAATTAATTGAAATTATAAGAACACCTTGCGAATCGAATTATTGATCATTATTAGAGCTAACAAACAGCAGCAGTGAATAGCTCTTATAAATTCTAAGAAGCCCGCAATTTGATCCAACAACAGATATAAAGAAGACAGGAGAATAAGGAAAATAACACGTTGTATAAATTAAAAAGCATTTTTCTTTTCATTTCATTAACTTGCTCGTCTTACGAGGTGAGTAGGTATACGTTTATCATTCTATTTACTTACCAGTTTCATTACTAGTAACGTTGAATTTTACTTTGCCACTATTAGAATCCAAAGCTTCTAGCACGACAAGTTGGGGTAGACCTCCGTCGTATCCAGCAACACAACGTATAACGAGGGCACCTCCCAAGTCTTCATGACCAGAATCCTCAATCCAGTTGGAGCTATTTCCGGTAGATACGGTACAGTTCCTCGGAGGAGATGGACGAGCTAATAATAAAATACATATTTAAGGAATTTTAGAGAGTAATAGGGAATCCTTGTGAGCTTACTTTATAGTCCGCTTGTCCATCTATCTGACCTACTAGTATTTTCTTCAGAAAGGTTAAATTTAAAATACTGGTCTTCTAGTGTTGTGAAAAAAATAAGATAGATGAATTAGGATAATGAATTTGACGTAACGTCGGTAAACTACGAATATCTATCTCCTACCTAATACGATCAGAAGTTTACAAGAGATATAGAAAGCATGCAAATTCTTAATTTATTCTAATCAATAAATTAATAACTTGTTTATAAAAACACAGAACAATGAAACCAAAAAGTAATTAGTGTTAATATAAATTCTTAATATATTAATGTAAAAATCATTTGTCCGTATAATTTAGGAATGGTCATAGATTAGTTAGAGATATTTTTCTATAACTATTTTAATAATGTCAAAAAGTACTGAGAATTGTTTTAACGAAACACATTGGTCTCGGTTTATATAAATTATATAATATGCCTTACACTAACTAGAATTCATTAATTTAATTATAACTTTAACACTAATTTTAATTGTATATTTACTTAAAATGCCCTAATACGCAGCGTTGAATATAAAAGATAATACGAGTAAATTAGTCATCCTTTTACCTGCTGGAACTATTTGGAAGACACACGGTTGCTCCTGACGACCGACAGAGTTTGTTCCCCGGCACGTTAACGCGCCATAGTCTCTCTCACTGGCTGGCGTGTATCGAAGTTCGCTGACGCTTCCGTTTATTGTACCTATTTAAAATTGCATTTTCAAATTAAATAACGCTTTTGGATAAGATTGAACCAACTGTCATAAATTTATACATTTATTTACTATGTGGTCGACACTGCAGTCAATTATAGTACGAGTGGAGAGTACAGAATATTTTTTACGGTGTACTAGGAAAAGAGATAAGGATGAAATTATTATTAATTGATTGGCTTATCGTGACAAATTGAACAAAAATTAACTATGATAGTTTCGAAGTCGACCTAATATTTATAACAATGTGTCGGTTAGATCTTATTACTAACAATGCCTTTACTCTTATCAAACATTCAAGTGATACATAATAATATTTTTACGGCTTTTCATGAAATATTACAAAAAGACACGGCAATTCTGCAACGGCAACTCAACTGCTATGTACCTCTAAAATTATTTATATTTGAAGTATAAAACAGCAGTTGTCGTGTATTTACTGGCAACCTTACTCAGGTCGATAGTAGATATCAACTATATTAGTTTGTATATTTCTTTCTTCTTTTTTAACACAGGGGAAAACGAGCATGTGGCTCACTTAATGGTAAATGATTACTGCCGCCCATTTCTATGCCTATACCCGCAATATAAAAAAAAAATATAGATGTGTTGCTGTCGTTTTGTTTCTTAGAGTTTTTATAGCTTTTGCATAGTTCGGTCACCTAATTGTAAATAACTAGAAGCAATGTTTGTGACTCGTTATTATTATATTTACGTCTTTCATAGTGCAATACATAACCTCCTGAAATAGTATCCGAAACGACAATCAGTAAGAAATTACACATAAAAAGGGTAGACATATTATTACGAGTATATCTTGTCAGCACAGATACGGTTAATCCGCAATAGATGTTGCAAAAAATAGACTTAAACTTGATCTAAATAACTGTTGCCACAACTGAAGTAAATTTTTTTTTCAGTGAAATACTATATTAATTTACTATGTCATAATATTTTTATAGAAATGTAAGTATTGTATATTATTGGTATTGATGATTCCATTTTTCTTTTAATACTCGTAATACGTAAATTATAATTCAAATATATTACTCGTGTTTGATAAATAAACATCATTATTCCATTAATCCATTATGAACATGACAAATGATGACATAAGCTAGCTCTGAATATTTTTATAAATTGTAACTTTGGATCATATTATTTATTCGTGTTACAACGCTGATTATGGTTTTATAATATAAATAATTATTGATATTACGCGAGTTTTATAAATGAAAATGTAAATATTGTATGAGAATAAACTTTCGTTCACAATATGTATTTTAAATATATAAGTATACATTTTGTACTTGAATAATAACTATATTCCACGGCTTTGTTCATTTGGAATAAGATAATAGTTAAAAGGTAGCGTATATGTTAATCTCGGACATTGTTTATTTATGTTTCAAATTTTATCAAAACCTGTCACGTTTATTATATTGGTATAATATTTATAATTGGATTATAATTATTTAAAATAATTAAGGATCCACAAAAGAAAACATTTCAATTGTGACAAAACCAGTTATCTTGATCTAAAAATTAAATTATTAAACCGAATTTAATAAAATTTCTGTGGTAGTCCCACAGAAATTTTATTAAAATTTGCAAATATATCCTTTCAGACGAAAAAACCCAAATCTGTTTAGAACTGACGGAGTTATGAGAAAACAAACATAATAACAAAATTAAACCGAATTCAAATTCGTTTCTATTTGAAATCAGTTAATAAAAACTGTCAAGCATGGAAAATGCAATTAAAATTACCTTAGTGGTACTTGAAATTTCACAATTCGAGTAGATATACAAAATATTAGCAATAATATGGATATACTTAGTTTCCAAAAAAAATCAGGCCAATCAATCCAATCAGGCGAATGAAGTTATATATAAAAAGTGGTCGTAATTTTTTTATACAACTTAGAATGCAATTTTTTATGCAACAAACAAGCTAGCGGTCCATCTGATAGAAAGTGGTTACTGTCGCCTATAGACATGAGCAGTACCGAGGGCATAACAGGGTATACTGTTTCGCCCATGATACCTCTCATACGTTGCCATTCCTGAGGAATTAGATTTAATTCCTGTTATTATTGTTATTCCTCTGGACCCTGTAAATACCACCCTTCAAACCTAAACCGAATAATATTATCAAAAATCTGTAAATACATAGGTACGTACCCAAATCTAAAAAGTAAAAATGTAAGTAAAAAAAGCGTATGTTATTTATAATAGTACTAGCCATATCGAGCTGGAGATACGTTGAAACTTTCACCACTGTTGTTGAACTGCCACAAGAAAATAACTTCAGCAGGGTCAGCGTGTACTGAACAGCGGACGCGCAACGCTTCGTCCAGTGCGGCGCCAACTACTTGTGGCGATAATTCACCGCAAACTGGAGCATCTGTGTGGGAATGTTCAGTTTAGTTTGCATTTTTTTTCTGTTATGTATTTTTTTATAGAGGGTTTTGTAATAAGATGTAAATGGAATGGTAATTCCATTTACTCTATTGGTATTCTAGTGAGTGATAATAGATGAGGATGAAGTCAGGTCAATTGGCCTATCGTAATGGCTATGAATCAATTATTATAGTTTGGAAGAGAACCCATAGAGGTCGACCTGATAAATGATCCTCCTCTCACCATTGTATACAGGAAAAGTACCTTCTACTTTCTCTTTGCCTCTTCCCGTTTAGTTAGGATTTGGTCTTCTTGACGTAATGCCCCAGACTTACCTATTCTGGGTTGTCCTTACATTATAAAGTATACGTAGTATATTTTATTATATCTGTCGATTTGTCATAATATTCTACTTATAATGGATAGGATCATCACCCCGATATCCAGTGATAGTATTCATAAAATGGATTACATTTCTCAAGAAATAAAATATTTTTTTTTCCCTATAAATCAACAAATTCCCACAAATAATCGATTTGATATAAAGAAGGCTATGTCTATTTAAGTACCTACTGTGGATAAAATTTGTCATCGTACCTAACCCAAAGTTGGTAATTTTTCCGACTTCAAAATATAGGACAATCTCCCTTTTTATGTTTTCTATATCGGATGAATTCTAAATCGTTAGCAATCATTAAAGGAATATTCATATATTTAATTATATTAAACCGCCATTGCAAATTCCAAAGGTCGATTGGTAGAGAATGCCTATAGCATTTAGTCCGCTTTTTGTACCACATTTTATCGGTCAATAGAGTATAAAATAAATAAATATTCTACCGGACTAAATATTTTTATGGGACAAAATATTTTTATCAAAGAAACAAGGGCCAAACCACTACAAAAAAAAATACGGCACGTACAGCTATTGAGTAGAACCTTTAATATTTTTTGTCATTATTAATTTTTATTTTGGAATTTTCTGTTCTAATGCATTTTACAATATGGGTAGATTTTAGTTTTACGCACCGTTAATAATTTCGTATAACTTACAACTACAGAATTGTTAATAGACACTTGAAAATGTTTACCCAACTCATAAATTGATACTATCCATCAATTTACATCAAACTTTCTTTTGCAACCACTTTATCTACCATCACAGTTATATCGCTACTATAAAAAAAAAAATCTGTAAATGTAAAACACAGAAAAAATAAAACACACACATTACACACACGCAAAATACTAAAATATGTTATTACAAAACAGTAAAGTCTCGTCGAAAAATACATAAAAAACCGCGTCCATAAATTTAAAATACCTATCCAACCAGTTTTGCTGTCATAAAGCGATAAATATAAATCAAAGGGCAATTATTTCGGCAGCGGCGAATTATTTCGTCTTCCCCTAGTCTGCAATTAAGACTCGGACAGGGGAAGGAAGCCTGCGATGCGCCAATATAGAATGCTGATAATAAATCTTGCACCGGACATCGTTGTTGATTTACGTAGGCCTGCTGTATAATGAACGTGTAGATAGGATTCAATTGTACCTGCGTATATAGGTGCGTAAGTATTCTGCGCCTCAGATAAGGTGCAATTTCCAAAATGTTGGTGTTTATAACGTTGTAACTCATATTATTTTCATTTGTAGAAATATATTTCATGCAATCTCAAATAATAAGGTAAAATAAATAACACAGTCTGACAAAATAATCCGGGCGAAGCACAAACGTTTCCACTACCCGGAAACAGAATTTATTCCTGTATATGTTCACTAGAACAAAGCTCTATGAATTAAAGTGAAGCCACGGAACAACAGATTGCTAAGGTACTTGGATCGCAGTAATATTAGGCAATAATTTTGATGATTTACTGCCAGCGCCGCCTTCTCTGGCAATTACTATGCGGCCGTTCGGCCACGGAAGGAAGTCGGTACGTCGATCCCGACCGCAATCATTTGAATACCTATTCGCAGACATGTCTGTATTTACGGCGTTGTAATTCATACTATCTATAGCGACATTTTACGGCGGACCTACACGTCATTGTATCCGATGTTTATAGTAGGCTATGTAAATGATACGTCTAATAGATTACGCTGTTTCATGTTTACAGTTCGCGTTTCGTCGTGCTCCCCTTGATAAATGCGAAATTTCGTTTTTACCGGGGGCTACTATTAACTGGGTAATCGTTTTGATGTTTGAACATAAACTTTCCTATTTTCATCGAGTTAGATCTTTTCCTTAACTGAATATTGAAAATTAAAGCCAGAAATAGGTACAACAGTAGTACTAATCATAGAATTTACCCGAGTAAACTAATTCAATTATAATTTTGATCACATTAAGTTATTATTGTCAGATTGATTACAAAATTTAATTTAAAATAACATTCTGAGCTTAGCTTGTACTCATTTTTTTGCAGGAAATAAATCATGTTTTTTTTTCTTCTTTTTATTGAACAAACTTAAAATGTTCTTCAGTTCAACGTCAAGTACACGAGTTTGTTTATTGATTGAATAATATCATTAATTTTGATTATATAACTTTAAAAAACTATAAAAGTTTTATAAATATTGATGTTCAAGTAACATTATTTCTTAAGTTATTCATAACCATGACGAAAACAAGTATTTAAATCAATTTACTGTAATATATTATATTGTGAACTTAAGCCTTTTTTATTTTTAGCATGTAATTTAAAATTTCTTACATATTATTACATATGAGTTATACAAGTGTACATATATTATAGATACGTGTAATTATACTCCCAATCACACGATGCCACTAGATAAGCGGTATTTTACGTTAAACGACTTACAAGTTTATTTCATTAGAGGCATACGTACATTGCACTCTTAATCGCACGATGTCACTGGACGTCTCTCCCCTGATATTTGCCGCTCTACATGAATAACTTCCGGCTTCTCGCCTCGTCACCTTTTGCAACACGAGCGACCGTGTGCTAAGGATGATCCCGGATGACATGTTCTGCGTCACCGGCCTGTCCTAGAATAGATACTAGACTTTACTTACTAACAAGGTAGATTTCTGCAGGAAATCTTTAATACATTTCAACATAGGTGGAATTTTCTTAAATGTCGGAACAATATATTTATCAAAAATGTATTTTTGTATTGAATCAATTTAATAAACGTCGTTAAATAGTTAAAGATTGTGCCCCACAAAAACCGGCTTCAAGTGTGATAAAACTAGTTATTTTGATTTAACGAATGAACGATTGAACTGATTTTTATAAAATTTCTATGAGATCAATATGCAAGCATATCCTTTTAGAAAAAAAAAAAAAACCTTTTCAAATCGGTTTATAACTTTTGGAGCTAAGAAATATAAAAAAAAGATACAACCGAATTGAAAAATGTCTTCTATTTGAAGTCGGTATGTCGGAATGTCGGTATATGTAGGATAATTTGATATTTCACAATCAAATTAAATAAAAAAAAACAATTTATTGCAATTGGAATATTGAAAATCAGTTTGGGATTGGCAAAATAATCGCGCAATATACACTTAGTAAAGTATACCACGAAACTTCCTTTTGATAAGAAACAATTAGTAAAATCTTATTTCTTGATAGTGGACCCTAATCCATTTAGTTTTAATTAATACATACCTATTGACTAAAACTTACATTATGGTACCAGGATATTCGATGCTCCCGGGGGTTTGCTTTTACGTTACACTCGAAGTAAACATCATCACCTTCTTTAATGTCATGTGGATTGAGTGTACTGCCTAGCGATAACGTCACTAGTGGGCTGTCTGGAAAAAAGATCACTTTTAATATTTCATTTTGTACAAAAATTACGAACACTTTTATAATCAAATAAAAATATGTTCTTATACTCATTGAAGCAAATCAATTTAATTGACTTCCTTCAATTGTTTATCATCAGATCAATGTGTAGTTGCACCGTAGTTTGAAGCTTACAGTACATTCGTGCGTTCCACTAATGTATTTCACCTTTAAAATTAAAACACTGCATGCAAGCAAGTTACTTGATAATAAAATATGAGTAAAAATGCTTGACTGTAAACTTTATAAAAAGCCCTTCACTGGTAATTGAAAAATATGATAAGTGATACATTTTTGTAATCAAAAAGATCAATAGCGCGTACGTTGTGCTGAGTAACTTTGCCTTTACTATTAAGATACTAATTAGAATGAACTTTATTATATTATAACAATACTAACATACGACGTTTAACTGGAAGTGGTCGTCGATTGCTTTAATAGGAAGCGTAGGGTTGGCAGCCACACACTTGACAACAGCGCCATTGTCTGCTGGAGTGGGCGTGTATGTCAGTGTGCTAATTGACCATGTTTCGTTTGAGTGTGTCGTTACCTTATTCAGCAAGAAAAGAAAATAACTCATTAGCTTCAACGTGCTCTTTTTAAAAAGTACAGTCTTGCAACATTGCCAAATTATTTGCTTGTTGAAACAAAACTAGAAAATTGGAGTTCTTACAATGTTATATAATATTAAAAAAACTAAAGCGTAAAACATAATGTGATTTATATGTTACAGATATTCACAATGGGGTACTTTAGATTATTATTAAAATAGATATTTAAATATATTAACAAATCAATATAAATTTGAATAATATGATTTAATTTAGTAACCCTATTTTTTTATTCTCTAGTGCCCTCTTGTTGGCAAAACGTATTGACTAACAAAGAGAATTAATTCATACATAACTTAAGTACTCTACAATTTATAAACATCAAAATCTATAATAATACCTATCTGAAATTAATACATGAAATTGTATATTTTATTAACTTGTATATTTTCATAAGACACAATAATAGAATAGAAATATATTTGGATTTCTAGAAAGTAAATATTGAATTTGAATTATCTAGAGAGTTTTTTCATTTTTTTACGCTTAGTATAAATATTATTTTTAACAAACACTCCATATAAAATTCTTTATCTAATCAGCATGATAAAAATAAGCAATCCTCAAGAGGAGCATGGATTGTCAGTAACAGGAATCAGTAGCCCTATTGCTAGTAATATACCCTATCAGATTAACTAGCATGTGGTTCTTTATGGAAACTGTCATAGTCTATTCTTGATGAATTCATCATGATGGGGTAACTGAGGGTCAATTCAGCTTAACCTATACTTACTGTTGCCATGCCAAGGTAAACAGTTTACGCTGTTAGGGCAACGAAAGCAAGGATAAGGCAAGATTACAATTTCATTATCATCTATTTAAAAAGAATAGCAATTGAATGTTAATAAGATAATCCTTGGAATGATTGAAATTAATACAAACTCTATGTATTTCCCTCAAAGATTAACTTAGATTTTTTATGAACATATTACACACAAAAAATCGTAATTAGAAGAAGTAAGTTGAAAAGGCAAAAATGGGCGGCCTTATCGCTAAACAGCAATCTCTTCCAGGCAACCTTAGGATAGAGAGGATTAATTAAGGTTGCATCCCTTACATACATATACATACATATCTATTACGCCAGTCTCCCATTAGGGTAGGCAGAAACAATGGAACGCTAAATGCTTCGATTCAAACAAACTTCTTTGGTTTCTTCCACATTCATCAATCTTTTCATACACGCTCGCCAGTTACAGGTAGTTTTAATTCGTCTTGCGTCTCTTTCTACAACAGTAATCAAAATTAAAGTCTCTACTTATATATTTACCTTTTCCTTTTCAAAACTCCTGTTATCCTTATACCAGGCAATCTGTGCAGATGGTCTGCTGCCTTCGGCCATGCAACGCAGAGAAGCTGATGAGCCTGCTATCAATTGTTGTGGCCGGTTCAGTAACGACACGGAGATTGGGGCCACTAGTGAATAATACACAATAATAAATTAAAAATACTCGTAATAATAAATAATACATGTTTATAATTTTGTAATTAGTATTTATAATTAATGAGTTTTATTTAATTATTTATTTATAGAATTACAAACATAAAATACAGCGAATCATTTCATTACAATACATTACCGGATTAGGATTACTGTACTTATATTTAAAGATAATCATACGATGCATTTATTAATTTATTAATGTTTCATAAACATAAAATTTGTGAAATAAATTAAATTAATTAATATTATTTATTTATTTAAACGTGCCGATATTAGGATTTTTTAAAACCTAATTAGCGGCAAACAAATATGTACTCTAATGGTAAACAGTCACCATAGCCTATGGATCCCTACAATACCAATGTACATTGTCAATACTAAAAAAAAATTGCATACCCTTTTATATGATACTTAAAATAGTAAAGAAGTTGACAACCCGCCTGATAGATATTGGTGACTGTCGCCTACAGGCTTTTTTAATATCATTTGATAATCAGATCAAGAAAGAAAACTTACTATAGTGTATATATATATATATATATAGAGAGAGAGAGAGAGAGAGAGAAAAAGTACCTATCCATTGGTAATAATAACAATTTAATCCTTATTAAGCTGTAATTAAAAATGTATAGAAGTTTCACAACTCCAACGCAATCCAATGAGTGCGTGGCCTAGTTGAGGGAAGGTGGAGTACACACCAGCAATCACGGGGGACTATAATTAATTACTCGTTTCAGTTTCACAGGGAACTCGCCAACGTAATGAATTTCTACGACTTCCAACGAAAATCCAGTGAGTAACCAAAGTGGAAATGGGTTTTTATTTTTATAGTTCCAACTTTTAATTGCAATATCATTCGCTGAATAATATTAATATTTGATACAACGCAGCACAGAATAATTACATATTAAAATAGTATTAGAAATTGTGAATTAACATTTCGTTAATTAAAGTATCATTTTGTATAATAAATATTATAAGTTTAGTTCTCATTTAAGACTAAAATGCTTTATATACATTTTTGTTTTAATAAAAATCTAATAAGTAACCTAAAGTTTGTTTAATATCAGAAAGGACAAAATATTAGTTGGTAAATAGCGTAATATATCATATTCAGTAAAGCCTAGGAATTTTATGCGGGCGAACCCATTTTTTATTTTGTTTCTTAGGTTTTAGGGTTGAATTGTTGTTATGTAATACATTTTTAATCTAACTTATTAAATATATGATATACTGGCGATCCGGCTTAGCATAGGTGGTAGATAATTTTTTCGAAAATAATATATAGTCTAAGTTACACCCTGATAATGTAGATTTCAATTAATGAAAGAATTTTGAAAATCTGATAAGTAATTGTTGAGTTTATTCATTACAAATAAACAGACAAATCTTTCCTCTTTATACTATTAGTAAACTACTAAAATATATTACTCCTTGTTACAATTATAATTCAGGCTCAAGTTTACAAAGTTTAAAAAATAGTACATATTTATTAAATAAATTCGTTTAAAAAATAACTATACTACACATTTTTTATTCTGGTGAATAATAATAGGGTATAACTATTAATTACCCGTACAAAAATTCTATGTATCGTGTATGAGAGATAATTAAAAAAAAATAATCTATTTTGTTTTAAATAATACTTTATACCATTTGAGATATTGTAAGAAAACAATATTTTAAGTTTCAAAGAAATACACGTAAGTACTGGACTTATTTATAAAAAGTTTGCAAAAGGTCCAGTTTTTTTATGGCACTTAGAATGGTAAATAAGCTGTCGACCTACCTAATAATGGGTGGGTAAGTCGTAACTGTCGTCTATAGATATGAGCAGCCTCATGGATATCACAAAATATACCCATGACATGATATCCCACATACGTTGCCTATCCTGAGGACTATAGTGTTATGCCTCCATACTCTAAAATTTTACAAATTTATAGAAATATGAATAGGACAAAGGTACACATGCAAACGACTTTTGTACATAGTTTCTCTCTGGTAAGTGTATGCATCTTAAATGCTTGTTTACAAGAAATTCTTTCTTAATATATCTATGATTTCATCCTCTAACATTTATGGGCGTGAGTGGTTTCATATTAAATTATTAAATACTAGTGACCCGTCCCGGCTTCGCACGGGTGCACATTACATTATATACCTCTAAAATTATCAGTGTTCCTCTACTATATTATGTATGTATTACACATATAAACCTTTCTCTTGAATCACTCTATCTATTAAACTAAAGCGCATTAAAATCTGTTGCGTAGTTTTAAAGATCTAAGCATACATAGGGATGGACAGACGGGAAGCGACATTGTTTTATACTATGTAGTGATATTTATAAATTGTTATTAAAAATTTATTATATTTAATTTATTGTACTGGTATAAAACAGTTTTTAAAAAAAAAGAAAGAATATTGTCTACTTCAATTTGGTTGGCTTGTATTTTTGATCAGGAAAGCCTAGACAAATTAGATTACATCTGACTTAATTAGAGAGGTTTGGTTTCTAATTAAGACCTAAATACTTAGTCTATTTGGGTCATTTGATATAAAGGCACGGCTATATCTTTGTTTTGTTTTTTCCATCGCCAGTTATTACATTATTATGGTGTTTTACTTTACACTCTTTTATATTACATATTTTTATTTCAAGTATCATAAATATAAAATACTGCGCTGTCTTCTTGTATTGGTATTGAATTTATGAGTATTCAGCTGTTTGAAGACAAAAACATAAAGTATATTTCTTTCAATATTTAAGCGATCTATAGCGGCAAATTCCTAAAAAAGTAATAAAAATAATTAAATTCAATTCACCTTATTAAAATTTATTATTAAGATTTATTTGTTCACTAGATAGTCTAAAAATTTTTTACGTTAACCTCTTAGTGTTCTAACGAATATTAGGCACTTTTTTATACCTGTTTTAGTAAGAAAACTAAACTTAGAGTTCTAAGAAACCTAAGATATACTCGTAGGTCTCTTCTAAATTTTTTAAAGGCAGGGTATCGTGATTACCTTCAGAATACCCTATCTAAACCACCATATTTGACGATATTAGAACATATATTAAGTAATAAAGATATTTGGCTTCAAAAAAAGAACAATAATGACGATATTTTTTTAGCTTTAAATAGCTGTCACAAGTTTTTGTATAGTGATTACATTTTGCAACGTGCGCGTAAGCGTGCGTGCTACTGACGTTGACATATTTTCTGATGTTAAATAGACTTTGTATGTGCCAATTTGTAGTTGTAACCGTACTTAAATTTATGTAATGTAAAAAAAACTGAAATATGTTCAAAGTATTAACAAAAGTAATGTGTGTTGCTGGCCACTTGGTTACCTTTTTATATTTCATATTTTTTTTACATATTCATTTCATCACTCTTACTGTATGTATTGAATAGATATTAGACACATTAAATTTTCAATTTGGGTTCTTAGTACAAAACAAAATCTTAAGTAACTATTTGTATTTTCTTAAAGTCGCGAGAAATCTAAAACTAAGATTAAGAACCGATATATAATATTCGCGAAAATGTAAATATAAAATAAATAAATGAAAATGATAATAACTTACAATTCATTTCCAATCTGACAGACTTCTCTTGTGGTTGAACTAGATGTGTATTCGCTGCTCTGCATTTAAATGTAGTATTGAGGTCCTCCCTCTTCAAATGTTGGAGTTCTAATCTATTCACCACCACATGTGTATCAGTCTTAACGCCGATGTACTGGGGAGCTGGTGAGCCATCAATCAACCATGTGACCACTGGTTCTGGACGGCCTGATAATAAATAAATGAAATAAATCAAAATGATCTAGGCTATACTACCTGATAGGCTAATAAAATCATTTTCGACTGTTGCTAATTTGGTGATCATAACGCTCGACATCTCCGCATTTCGCCGTGTATATTTGAATTCATCATAACAAAGAGCAAACTATCCGCCGCCACTGGGATTTAAAAAATATCTTAACGCTGTTTTCCATCATCGTAGAGTTTGTAAGAACTGATAGTTAAGATTTTGTTCCACATAAACCGACTTCAATTGTGGAAAAATCACTTATTTTGATTTAAATAATAAGTTTGGAGGAAACAATAAAGAGTATGTATCTATCTACTTAACCAATTTTGATAAAATTTCTATGAGTCCAATCTGTAAATATATCCTATCAGATAAAAAAGAGTTTTATCAAATCGGTTTACAACTGACAGAGTTATGACGTAGCAAATTTAAAAGAATACAACCGAATTAATTAACGAGGTTCTCCTTTTTAATGTAAATAAATTCTTTTTTTTTTAATATCAAATTTAATAAACAATAAATACTTCTTGTGATAATTGTCGTTCTTAGTTTAACTACAATATAATTATTTTATTAAAGAATCTAAATTACATTTGTCTAACAGTCTAACAACCATCTGTGAGTTTTATTTTTCAACGAAATATGATAGGCTTATCTCTCAAATTCCACCAGAAGTGTCAACGAAACCGGCAGAAAGCTGTTGGGCTACGAGATTACATAAAGATATATTGGCAACTTTCCATAACTGGTGGTTTAGAAGCCAAAACTCTAACTTCACTTCTGTATACAAGCAATACTCGTATTACTAATATATACAGTGTAAAATTTAAAACATACTATAGTTTTATATATATATATATATATATATATATATACATTATTGCACTAAAACATTAACAACAATAAGTTAATAACGATGTTAGCAAAGGCGAACTTATCTTAAAAGAGATTTCTTCCAGTCAATGTGAGTATTCTACCAGTTATTCTTACTAATATTATATACTAGCGACCCGCTCCGGCTTCACACGGGTGCACACTACATCACATCACATTAAAACCCTCTAAAATTATCAGTGTTCCTATACTATATTATGCATTTATTATCTTTCTCTTATAAATATCTTTTATAAATCTTTCTCTTGAATCACTCTATCTATTATAAAAACCGCATCGAAATCCGTTGCGTATTTTTTAAAGATCTAAGCATATATAGAGACAGACAGACGGGAAGCGACTTTGTTTTATACTATGTAGTGATGTGAAAGTGAGTTTGTTTATTGCCTTATAGCGCCTTAACTAATCAATATGAAATTTCGTATACATATACTATATGAGATAGAGAATAATAAAGATCAGTTTTTGTCCCGATCAGTCAACATGTCCCGGTTACGCGGACGAAGTCGCGTATAAAAGCTAGGTTCACAATATTTCTTCGTTTCTTGACCAATATTTCTTTAGAAAAAATATTCTGTTTCACTGATAGAGTACTCCTTTAAAAAGGTGCTAATGAATTCTGTTTCAACTAATATACTACACATTCTCATTACATTACACTTTATTCTCATTAAATGAACTCTCCGTTGTTATTATGTAAAATATTGTATTTTATGAAAACTTCATGGTTACAAAGAGAATCAATTACAGAGGTTTGAATATAAAATTATATATTTGTGTAATTTTGTGATATTATCTATAAAGTACATTGTATTTAACATAAAATAATACGGTCTCGACATACATAATTTAACACGTAATATGAATTGTTTCAAACATAAACGAGTTTGTCAATAACAAAGAAATTCCAGGTAAAGTATTATCAAATATTAATGCTATAATGGATACTGTACACAAATTTTGGTTTAATAAACTTTGTCTTGACACTCTATGGAAACCATATAATTAAATATGGAGCAGATAAGGCCCAAAGGTCGAGTTACCGCGGTGTCCACTCTGCTGCATCATCACAATTGTTGAGCACACAGGCAAAGATAATCCGCGGCAAATACTGGCGCTCGGCCAACCCCCCATACTGCGGACTTTCAATGAACCCAACCGAATGGAATATCTCTTCCAATGTTTCCATAAAAGAAATCGGGCAATAGAAAAATTGAACTGAATTGTTCGTTTAAATTTACTTTTTAGCTACATTTAACACGTCAACGTGTTTACAGTGTGCCGCTTTAATTCTATGTTATCTTTGTTTCGCATAATGCTCAGTGACCTTTATGTTTGTTCCGTGTTTCTAAAAGTATGATAATTAATTGTAACTAACTATATTCAAATTTCTTAACAAAATATTAAAATATACATGGTTTTACATTTTAAAATTATATGAAAGTAATAAATAAAGTGATGGAGCAAGTTTAACGAAAATACGAGTAATACACATTTAAATAATTTAAAATTCAAACTTATTAATTCGGATAAGGTTTATAATTTTATTTTTTACTATTTAAAAATATTAAATAATATTGTTAGTAATGGTAAAAATTATTTTTTGAAGTAAAAACTTTACAAAATAAATTAAATTTCTTAGAGATTATAACAAGTCAGATAGTATTAGTTTGAACCGGTTCTCCAGGATATATATTATATAAGTTATCCTAATACAAGAGACTAGGTTACTGGTTTCTATCTGTTATATAGTTAATATGCAATAATGTAACTACTATTTGATAAGATCATTATTATTCCGTTTGTGTAATTGAGAGCTTTCATTTATCACTTGTTTTGTATAATCATAGATTACCTATGACTATTCTATGATTTTTATATTTTGATATTTATTTTATTTTATTTTAAATTTATTACATTTTGTCTATTAAAAGATTTACTTACGAGTACATGCAATTACATACATTGTTCATACCACAACTACAATTTTCAATCCATTTATTGACTATATTTGCTTAAATATAATAAAAAACAAGAGATTTTTATATTATGTTACTTATCAAAATTAAAAATATTTCAAAGACATAAACTTACCGCCTCGTACTTCGCAAACTAACACTAAAGCGGTTCCTTCTTCTAGAGGGCCGACTACACCAGACACATCAGCTCCAGACTTGTCGTAGAGCAGCATTTGATGAGGAGGTACTGTAACGGAATGCAACTTTAATGACGAACATTAACGAGACTTTGATATTGGTCTTAGTAAACGAGTTCGTTCACTTTGCTTTCTTTTAAAAGGTACTAATTATTACATCTGTAACATCTACATCTCTTATAAATGTGTTATAATAGTTGCAAGCGAATTTATTTTGAAAGAGGTTGGTATTAGGTTTATTTTCTAAACTTAAAACGCAGTGTAGGACGACCCCTCACTAGATGGAGTAACGACCTCAAGTGCATTGATTGCCGGTGACTTAGGAGCGTTCTTTATGACAATCTATAAAATTTCTTTCTCATTCATAATGATTTAGAAAAAAATTAACATATTTATTAAACAACTTGGATTTAGTAAACAAGTCGAAAGATAGTTTAATAGAAAGTGGTTACCGTCGCCAATAGACACGAATTGCACAATAGGCATCATAAGATAATAACACTTATGGTTGCTATTTCGGGCAACTATAATATTGTCTCCATACCCCGTACTTTCTTATAATATAATATTATTATAATTCATTCATGTAAATTAAAACTTAAATATAGTCATGCTAATACAACAGTACTGCGGTAAAAATACAAGTGAAACAAAATTTATTGAAATACGTTTTATGTATAGTTTTTCTTTGAAAAATGTACTTGTGTATATTACTTGTACAGTTTAAGACTATACAATAATATTTTTAATTATACAGTACTATCATACCTACTTATACAACAATTAGTCCATTACAATTTTCAAAAGATTGCTCTCAGCAATAAGACCACCTTACTGTACTTATACAATTGTATCGTTGTGTTTGTAAATTGCCTTGCTTATTTCCTATATTGTATTATGCAAATAAAGTATACTCATTCATTCATTAATTCATAATTATGTTGTTTATTGATTATACCTATATTGTATAAGTTAGTACCTAATACAGTAATTAATTATAATAGAAATTGTAAATATTTGTACACTGTCCTATATTTCTTTTTTAATAATTTATACAAAGTTTCGTTCTTTACCTATTACAATTTTAAAATATATAACATTTAAATCTCTAGAACTCTTGAGCTCTAATTTTCATCTTATTGACTTTCATGAATGCGACGAGGACACTCGTATTTGAAGGTTGAAATTAAGCGAATGAACATTCATATTAACCCAACATGCGATATTACACGGGCGGCTTTATTTGATTATTAATTGACACCATTAATAGAAGCCCTCCGCTCCCAATGGTAATTGGATATTTTATGATGTTATGAATAAGCCTGATTATAATTATAAGTGAGTTCTTATCACAGACATAGACAGATATAAAGCTCAATATAATAAACCTGAGCGTGCCTCTATTAAAATAACGAGTTACTATTGCTATAATGTTACAGTTGTTTTTCGTAGTAAATTCCTTGGTTTCACTAATGCAACCTGTTCTAAAATACAATTATAGTGCTACTTTTGTCCATCTTCTGACCTTTTTGATGTAAATTTTCAAATAGGCCAATTTTCTATACTATATAAGTATACATACGGCTTATTGTTCATGCCTATATAGCTCTATAGTAAGAAAAGACCCTTTGCCTAACAAAGACAGCTAGCAAATTACCGCCCTGCACGAAGTCTAATGGATTTCAATGGAGTTGCATATATGCAATATAGGCTTACTCTTAACTGCTTTGTTCTGCGCAAAAGAAATTTTCCTCCCCCATATCCTTTGCGTCTTTCGCGCGTTGAATAGGGCAATTTGAAAAACTCCGCGGTAATTTACTCGACATTTACAGATCCTATTTATTTTTTATCCTTTGCATTTAAATCATTTTAGAATGCTACTGCACTGAAAATAAGCTTATTAGAACGACTTATTTATTGAAGTCACGCGAAACGGAACAAAACTATGAATAAATTACATATAAATTTAACGAATAGGTATTTTATAATAGGATTAAATTACTCAAAGCAATTTGATTAGTGATAAATACAGTTTAAGTAAAAAAATCTGTCTAATCCCTGAAAAATGTAATTATATCATTGTGAATTCTAACAATGAAGCGAACAAAGTTATTGCCGACCTGATAACGTCAGAACAAAGGACAATTTGATCTATTCAAAACTAATTTCCTTTTAAATTTAACCTGTCTCCTGCAGATTTTATCTGTGTCACCGTCGGAGCATCGTTTTTATCAGCTACTGTGAAAGCAACCTCAGTATACCAGTCGACAGTTCATAATTAAAATGTCTACGGGATGTCATTAGCCCCGACCGCGATGCTCTCGCGATTCATCCGTAATGGTTAAATTGATTCCTTGTCGCCGCCTCATAAAATTTTCATTTGGATAAAGCTAAAAAGGTAAGTACGAATACATTGCTTTATGACTGTATTTTTATGTTTATCTCCATATGGGCAATGATTTATACATCTTTTTGAAATTTAAAACAATGAAATACATACTATACACGTAATGGAGAATTCAGCTAATTAGTTATGTATTTTTTTTGTAGTTTTTAACAGTTACTCTTTTAGATAAAATGTTTAATTTTATTGCTAGAATATTTCCTAAAAATATACTTACAAACGATTGCAATTTTACTCTTTAATATAAAAAGTGTTATTACATGGAAAATTATGACAATATCTTATACTTGCTATTTTTCGTACATAGGTACGACTGACTGACTACTAAAATAGTTTTGAATATTTATAAATCTGTGGTTCGTTAGGCTACACAATATAAGTATCTATCTAAATTGGTGCACATATACAATCTTTAAAATATTTGTGTATGTGTATTTACCTTAATTAACGTAACCCTTAATACGAAAAATGTTCTGCTTAAAATCTGCTTCAAGTAATTAGGACCAATTTTAATGACTTATTTCCAGTGCAGTGTTTCCGAACAAATACATACATTGAAACCTTCCGGAAAAGAGCATATTCATTCTGAAAAGGTTGTCAATGCACCTACAAGTTCTTTGATATTGTGGTTACCTATAGGTAGCGGTAGTCACTTGCCATCAGGTAAGACGTATTCTCATTTGTTTCCTATGTTATAAAATAAATTTTAGTTCAACAGTATTCAAGCTTTGTCTCAGGGAGTTTTTTTTTATGAATTTACTAGTTATAATATTTACCTATAACTGTTAATCGAATCTGGAAGTTTCTAGTCGGTGAGTTCTTGAAGTCGACCCGACATCTGTATACTCCTTCGTCATCCAGTTGCACGGAACTAAGCGTCAAAGCAGCTGGTCTTGCAACTGTCGCAAAATATGCGCGGGGACCGAAAGCACCGGGATCTGACCACTGCAAGGCTTTATTGAAGGACCGCCCGCGAACGTCGAAGCTGTTTAATAAAAAAAAAATAATAAATGTTAAAATTTTGTAAAAATAACTGGAGTGACTTATTTTTATATTGTCTGGCTCGCGGTCGCGCCACAGTCGCTTATGATTAAGAGACCCGAATGGTCCCGACAATACTCGAGCATTTTCGACTAAAATACACTAAATTAATTGAATTATTGTTACTAAGTATTATACATATACTAGTTGTAGTAGATTGCCATCTTGCAAGCCTATTGCTGCATATAAAAATCGCGATTAAAAAACAGGGGTTGATCGTAAAACCGTGAAAATTTTAATTTGTATGTATTTTTCAATGCTAAATCAAAACAAAATAAATATAAAAAAAATTGTCAAAAAAATAAAAAAAAAATTTGGGGATGGGTCACCCTTGTCATTGAGAGGTATGAAAAATAGATGTTGGCCGATTCTTAGTCCTACCTAATATGCACCCAAATTTTCATAAAAATCGGTAAAGCCGTTTCGGAGGAGTTTGGTAACAAACACCGTGACACGAGAATTTTATATATAAGATATTCTAGACTATATCTAATAACAATTTTCATTTCAATACAGGATATACATTTCAATATCAGGATACTATAGCTGTAAGCATTCCTCGATATAAATAAATAAATACATTCATTAAAAAGAACACTACCTTATGTGCAAATATAATATATGTACACGTACTACAATAATATAGTAATTTTAAAGCAACGAAAATGCAATGTTATAAATAAAGTATATAATATTATAAGTACATCTATTACAATTATAAAAATCCAATAAATTGCCACACTAGAAGCTTAATTCAGTTTACTTTAAAAAAAAAACTGTCAAACTTAGAATAAAAGAACGAGGGTGGCCCTGTGAAGTTTTTCAATTTCCGGACACGGTACATTTTCTCAATTTACCGACCTCCATCCTAATTTATACAGCAAGAAGCTTTGAGAGATGATTTTGATTGTACACCCTGCTGTTCCCAGGTAAAAACAATTTAGACACGCTTTTTATGACGGCGTTATCTTTGCAGAGCGCTTGTTCCTCCTTCTTATTGCCATAAACATGTTTATAATCGCAATTTTAGGTAATCATTACCTTAATATCTGCTGTCTATTTAAAACTAGATATAGCCAACAATTTTATTCACGTAAAAAATATTTTAAAACATTTATGTATTATATGAAAAATGTGATCTCCTGTTAGTTACACCAAGGAAGGAATATAAGTTATATATATATATATATATATATATATATATTCTTTATTGCACTTGTAAATTACATTGTTAATGCATTTATAAATATTGTAAGCAAGGGTGGACTTATCTCTGACAGAGATCTCTTCCAGTCAACCCATTATATATATATATATATATATATATATATATATATATATATATATATATATATATATATATATATATATATATATATATATATATATATATATACATAGACCATGTGGTTTCCACATAAAACCGGCTACCCCTTCTTTTCCTGTCGATATTGTAATGAATGGGGCTTAATGGTAGAGAGATGGCCGTCAGTGTCCCTCTTAAAATATCTCTAAAAACTTAATAGCGGTTCCTAACTCGCTAGCCAAGCGTATCAACTACTGGCAAAACTCCTCTATGGGAAAGATTTATGTTCAGCAGTGGACAGTCAACAGTTGAAATGATGAATTGCGCGTATTGACTAAACATACTCTTTATCTGGATAACAAAATTCAACCCCATCCAGCCGTTTAAGCATGATTAAGTAACAAACATTCGAACATTTATAATAGATAATGTAGTAGAAACAACTTTAACTTATTAAGAAGGGAAGATATTTAGAATAAGTACAGCATAACAACATAATATCAATGACCTCATTAAAAGTAATTTGTAAAAAAAAATTGTTTGTCCTTCGAAGAATCTTAATTTTTAAGAGAAGTTTTAGAAATTGTTTTATATTAACACTAATTATATAAAGTACATATAGCACTAGTCATGAGCACCGCTAAAAGTAAACTTACAATAAAAAACAATGAACGTAGGTAAGTTAAATAAATTATTATTATTTTATAACATGCTTTATTTAGGTATACGCTATTAAGAAGATATTATTCTTGTTATTATAATTTATTGATGGCTTTGATCTGTTTATGCATCTTGCTTCTGACAGTTAATAAAAAATATAAACAAATTGTATTTAGCGATAAAAGCTTTACAACACCAGGAGGATAAAATAAATTTAAAGGTGAAACAGTAATAACTTTTTATTTTTAAATTGTTTTCTGTTTTAAAATAAAAATTATCTAAAAACATAAAAACAATTGCTGTAATATCAATATTTTCAATAAGATCATAATACTAACTATAATATCTTTTTATTTTCCCGCATATATCGCTATAAATAGTATTCTACATATTAATTCAGAATACATTTTAAATATCTGATTACCGAATATCAGACATCTATATGGTTGAGTATGAAACGTGTTTTGAAATTTAGTACTTAATGGTACCCAAAGAGCTGAACGAATTTGAATGAAATTTAGTGCACACATAGACAATCAATAATGAAAAAATCATAGTTATAGTCATTCAATTATATTATTTAATGTTATGTTTTCAATTGTCAATCGAGTGGCTTAGACATCCCTTTGATTAACCAATACGTAGACATTGACAAAACCTTTTCGGACCCCGAATCATCAAGTGTGATTTCGTTAACGAGCACCCCGTGACGTCTTAAGTGTGTTTCGTTGTAGGTAAGTCTTAGCTAATTGGATTGGCCCGGCTTCCGTTCATCCGTTTAAGGTGCCGCCTGACGGTTCATTAGGTCCGACTTAATACTGTTAATTAAATACGCATTCATAACTTTATTTCTAAATATATGTAATGAGTGACATCATAGTATACTAAATATATGTACCACATAAATATAGATATAGAAGAATATATGTAAAAAATAGTACAGTATACATACTTATTGTATCACTGTTTACGAAAAGAAACATTGTATTATTCTTTGAATGTTACTTATAATAAGTACTTGATGATAATGACGATGATATCAGCCCTGTCCACTGCTCAATATAGGCATCCCCATTGGCGGGTTTTAGGAATAGTTGCCACGCTTGGCAGACGGGTTGGCAACCACAATTAGATTTTAGTGATCTTTTAATAGGGACGTTGCAGCCTATATCTCGACTATTAAGTTCCCTTAGTCACCTCTTACGACACCCACAAGAAAGGAAGGGATGACCTATTCTATGCTGTGATCACTAGACAAATGAGTACTTACAGATTTTCTTCAACGAAGAAGTTTAGATCATTTTAAAAATATTATATACAACAAAAAAGAGCAGAAAAATATCTTCAAAACAATGGATAGTCTTCTTCTTTTTCAGTCTTTCTTTCTCTCAATGGAAATCGGTCGCCATTTTATGATTACTTCTGCCAGCGTTATGTATAAGAGGCTCGTAACTAGAAAATGTATTTCTTTTTCCATTAGGAATATTCGAAGCACACCACAATTATAACAAATAATTACGCATTGTCCCATCGCTTGTATACTCTCAAAAAAATTCATAAACATAATTAACCACGACATATCCAACGAATAGCCGGTAATATTATATATATATATATATTTTTTTATTATACATTTCTGTATGAATCACAGTCTGTACAACCGAATATTCCAAATCAATAGAAAAATGCGCGGCAAAATTAATATTCGAGTAATAAAAAAGTCTAATTCCAAATTTGAATTAACTTGATCGAATTTCGAATGTCACTTCAAAAATCAAAGTTAGTACATAATCTATGTATCCAGTTTAAAGAATTTGGAAAGTTTACACAATATTTTTTTATGATATCTATCGATATTAATTTTTTTAATAGAATCTTATTATAAATGACCCATTACTTCGCCTACATGACCCAGATTGAATAAATAGCCTATGTCCTTTTCCATGTTTCCTAATGTTAATGATGATTAAATTGGCTGTTAAAGAATTAAGAGATAATGAATAAATAAACGCATTTTACCATTTATAAAGATGAATAATAAGGACAAAAGTATATACTAATATAATTATAAATACGAATAATAATAATAAAACAATGAAAGCATTGAGCACTGATTTATTACATGCGTAATGCATTGTGTTACTCTTTTGAACTATTTTTATGGGGTATACCCTATATATGTATAATATATCCTACATTTATTAGGCAAAAAATAAAGTGAAAGCTAGTATTTATTTTTGGTAGGTGCTGATGAAGCATCAGCGAGGAATAATAGGTAACGGTATATAATAGAAAGTGGTAACCGTCGCCTATAGACATGAGCAGTACCATGGACGTAACAGAGTATACTGTTTCGCCCATGATATCCCCCATGCATTGCCATTCCTGAGGACTCAGATGTTATTTCTCTGTACCCTGGTGATGAGGTACCCAAGCAATTGACTTTTGTACAAAGTCTCCTACTGGTATATATATATATATATATATATATATATATATATATATATATATATATATATATATATATATTTACTAGCACTTATACCACTCTTCTCTATTACTAACAATCCTCCCCCACCCCCTTTAAAATATTACCTGTATATGGGTTTCCCTCCACTTTTTCTAAACCATAGCACCATGTAGACACGGTCTTCGTTGGTATCCGGTGTGACGTCACACGGCAATGACGCCGTCCGGCCCAGTACGGCGTCCACGTCCACTGTCGATACTGCAACAAAAGACATTAATTTTTAATATACATGTATGGATAAACAATACTTAGAAATGTCAACTACATAATATTACTTTTACTAAAACTCGAACATATTAACAATACTGGTTACCTATTTAATTAGAATTATTTTGTTTAATTCCGCTACCATTAATAAAAAAATATATATAAAAAATATTAAATCGTAAAAATATGAAAAATATCTTAGAAACAATATTTTGTTCAGAAAATATTTTAATCATAATGTGTTTACATTCTTATTTCAACTCGGAAGGAAATATACTAATGAAATACAGATTAATTCAGCTAATTTTATTTAGAACAATGAATTTACTTATTCATACCTCACAATAAATCATGAACTCATATTTGAATAGTATTTCAATGCGATTTTTATCCGGTTCGTTATACGATTCCTAGATGGATGACATTCTCGAGGTCAGCCCATTTACATTTAGAATTAATCCAAAAAGGAACGTTAAAATAAAATTTATTACACCCTAGATAAAAAAATAACTTCCAGCATAAGACACTTTTCTACGGTTTATAATAAAATAAGGAAGAAAAAAGTGAAGAAAGGAATCCCCCGTGTAATACATTTATTCATTACGAAAGTAATTTAATGAAAAAGCCCGTGAAAACCCTGTTACCGCTTGACTGTTACTGTTCCGTATATTTTTATATAGATAAATGTCATAGTTTTATATATGCTGAAACTATTTTATCTACACTACTATAATTTAACTATGATTATTAGGTATGCATTTGGCAGAACAGAAAGATCTCAAATGTCACCAAGACAAAATTAGTCCGTACTCTGATTTTCTCGATATTTTTGTATGGAGTCGAGCCATGGACAATAAAAGCAAAGGAGCGAAAAAAGATCGCTGCTCTCGAGATGTAGTGCTGGCGAAGGATGCTAAGAGTTCCCTGGACAGCAAAGTGCACGAATATATCTATCCTGACGCAACTCCGCATAAAAGATAGGCTCTCGATAGTCTGCTATCGGAGGATTCTTGGATATTTCGGTCATGTTGCTCGACGACAGTCCGACTGTCTGGACAAACTAATGGTTGTAGGCAAAATAGAGGGAAAAAGACCACGCGGACGATCGCCTAATCGATGGTCGGACCAAGTAATCGCTGTTACGGGACTGTCAATTGCAGCTGCCCTGCGAGAAGCTGAAGACTGTGCAAAATGGAATAACATCATAAGAGAGGCAACAAACATCTTTCAAGGACACGACCTTCAGTAATGAAGAGCGAAGAGAGAGAAATTAGGTATGCAGCCTATACCTATGCCCGTTCATGCATATCCCGGCATAGAATAGACCATCCTTTCCTTCCCTGTGAGTATCATAAGAGGTGACTAAGAAAACTTAATGGTTGAGGAACGGACAGCAATGCTCCTTTTAAAGAGGTTTAAGTGGTACTAAAAATCCAGTTTTTTTTAATGTATTTATGCATGCTAATTAAATAAAAAATAAATAAAAAAACACATCACCAAAGCCTAAGTGCGGTTGCCAACCCACCTGACAAACCTGGAAACTACTGGCAAAACCTCTCAATAGACTGAAGCTTATGTTCAGCAATACTCAACGACTCATATAATGATGACGGTGACGTTGATGTTTTGCATAATTTTATCATTTTGGGCTTATATAGGATTAAATAATTTATTAATTGGCATTTGTAAATATTATTTATTATTTTAATCACATTAAAATTAGAAATATTACTCATGATTATTACTTACCAAGCTGTGTTTAATCATAAAATATTAAAAATGGGTCTAATATGATATCATTATTAATTTTCAGTATATGAAGTTACATGTGACAATTTTTATAGAAACTTGCAATAATAAATCAATTTAAATTAACGTTTTAAACAGAATTTCATCCAAGACTACATTTTTGTTCCTATTTTCAAATTTAAAAGGAATAGAAGATAAAGCTAGATCTGTGAATTAGTTCTGTTTTAGAATATAACAATTGGCAAATATGGAAACAGTTTAGCTTAATTCACAGTCATAAATATTTTCTATTTTATTTTATAGTGAAATCTAGAAATCAGTATTTAATTTTCTTCTCTAATAAATTTATAAATCTACTATACTTTGTTGGAAATTATACAGTTGATACAATAAGATCTTTGGAATTTTGCCTACGTAAAATATTATAAACAAAACATAATTCTTAAATTTTGTATTTTGAGTAATAAATGAACTGTGAATTTAATTGTCAATAAATCGGCATTAAGGCTGTTATCACACAATGCGGTACTGCACCGCATATTGCTGTGGTCAGCTATAGAGCGATTCATTTGTTTGTACTATTCTTTTTGTATGTAAACCACCGTGTCTTTGCACATGGTAATGTCAGCCCATCTTAGTAGTCAGTCGTCCAATCGCATCATCATTATCGATACCATGAATTGTTGGTTTACTGTGAAACGGAACGCGGCACCACTTTATGTTAAGCGCATAAATTAATTTATCAATATACATACTTGAATTATTGAATTTTTACTCTGAAACTCATATTTTTTCAATATCTATTGTTTATGTAATTATATATTTTTTTACCGGAAAACAATAAAGAGTTTATATTCATTATTTATTTTCTAGATGTGATTGTTAATATTGATAAATTAATTGAAATTCGTACATATAATACAAAAAAAATTGAAATAAATTTTCTTCGTTCGTCTTAAAATACCTATAGTTTTATAAATATAGTTTGATAAAAACGTTTTATTTATGTATCTAAAGCTTTATTTATTATCTTATCATCTGTCGCAGTATAAATACTCGGTTTCTTAATTTTCCATGCGGATCACCAAAAAAATAACCGTGACGGTGAATGAAGCGACTCTTCTGGCTCAACTGCCTCAGTTTAAGGCCAACATTTATCTCGGCAAAGTTAATTGAGGCTCTGTGTTGTTCTTCCTTTATACATTTATACACGTCTCTGTAATGGTTAGATGTGCGAATTTCTTCTCCCAATTTAGTTATGTGCCAACGTGCGTGTTGTGCTGCAAATCGAATAAAACAAGTCAAAACTCGATTCGGAACAACAAAGAGGCGTCCTGAACATCACCATTCAGTAGAAATACTATTGTGAAGTATTCATCTTGATTTCTTGGCACCAAATAGATACGAGAGGCGGCGTGTTTGCTTCGAAAATGTAACTTACATATTATTTGAAGAACAATCTTAACTTACGAATGTATTGATCGCACCTCTCGGTGATAGACGAAACAATATTACATTCTTGTTGACTAAATTGTGTTTAGGTAAACATTGAGCTGTATAAAGGTAGATAAGTGATGTAAGTTACTACACTCGTGTATATATGTATGTAATTCACATACCTACATACAATTTATGGGATTTCAAACTAAAATGGTACAAAGAAACACTTATTGTGCAACTTTGATCATCCGTCCGCGTATTACAGAGCTCTTATTAATTACTTGAAGAAAACTTGAAATTTAGGAAAATATTTTTAAAATAAATGTAAAATAATTTTTTCTTTATGTGAGTTCAATAGAAGTACTCTTAATTTCAAAATAAGTCTAATAAGTCAAGTGGTGTATCTTTTTTTTATTTTATTTACTATTTAGGAACAATAGTTAATTGTAATTATTGTAAGATTATGTAGTAGAATAAAATAGGAAATCGTAGTCTACTATTCTACAATATAATTAATATTAGGTGCGTATTTCACATAACAGACAGTAAATACACTTGTACATAAGATCATTTTATTACATATTTTCATATATATATATCTTTGAAACAAAAAAAAAAAAACAAAAATCTATTTCCAAATTATTTTATTTAAGTACAGAACGTGTGTGTTCGACTCATATTTGACCGGTTTTATTTTATTTCTAACAGTCACGGCCTTTTACCTCTGGGATATAATATATCTACTAAAGAATGACACTTGATCCTATCTTGACATATTTCCATTGCTCCCTTTATATTCGGAGATCTCTTTTTGTTCTACAATTCCTGGTACCTGCCCTTATTTTATCCTCCTTCGAATTATCTCCAATTTGATCAATGTACGTGCGTCGATGCTCTTGACCGATTTAAATTACATTCAATTCGTTGAGTTTTTTTAGCCGTCTGAAGCACTTTTATCTTACCTATTAATAATAAATTTATGCATTATTATTTTTCAACTTGAAGTAAAATTACTACCCATCAGGTCAGTAGGATTTCATGTTTTATAAAAAATATAGCATGTATTATGTTTAACAGAAAAATAAAAGGTACGCATGTTGAGTAATGATATAATAAAAACACAATAAAAGACAGCCCTGAGAATGAAACATAGACGAAACTCTAATTAGCACCTCTATTAGTGATTAATACATTTACATACAGTTTCGCGCTATAGACAAACACTAGCCATCTTATTGATTTCTTTTTATACCTTTAATTACTAACTTAAAATTTGATGTTTGTTTCATCTTAATGCATTATCTACAAGTATTTTATTTAATTAAAATATCTATTTCTGAAATCTACGCTTACGAAGCAGCAGGAAAAAGCTATCTTCTGAAAAAAAATATTGATACTGAGATACAAATGGCAATACTACGCTATAAACGTTGGGAAGGGCTTGGTATTTTATACAGAAATTGTTGATTGCAACTTCAAATATAGCACCTCATAGGTACTCGTATTATATCAAAAATGTAAGAAATAAATTTGTTTAATTTAAGTAGAAGAAAAATAAATATGGAAATATTTTATTGACAATTTAATTGTAAGCACAAAAAAACAAAAAACACATTTAATTTCAAAGCATTTAAGCATTAGAAAGATAAGCATGCTGAAGTGCCAATGAGCTGGTCGTAACCTCTTTGAGCTTGAGTAGTAACCTCATACAGGCAAAGGCAGTAAAGGACAATCCCTTACTAGATGGAGCTACGATCTCAAATGCATTACCTCTGCAAGGCACCTGCATCCTATTACTCCCT